CACGGTTTGACCGGGGGTTCGGGTCGGTCTCTCGGAGTTCACGAAGCGCACCCCATGACCATAATAACTCCGGCGCGCGACCCGGCGCCGTGTCACGTCTTCGAGACGTCCCGGAGCGCTTCGCGGGACGCGCTGCCGAGCGTAGTGACCGTGCGACTCGCTGGACGGTGGTGCGGGGGGGGTGGGGGGGGGGGGACGTTCTCTGTCCGTCGGGAAGAGTGGGAAGGCCCCCGTTTGCCTGTGGAGCCTCAGGCATCTGCTATGTTGGGTTGTCCTCTGGTGGCAACTTTGGGCAGAGCAGCACACGGCAAAAAATGTCCCTCACGGGAACAGGAGGAGGCCATTCAGCCCCGCGAGCCTGTTCCGCCATTCTGGTAGGTCGCGGAGTCCTGCGGCTCAGCCCCCGAGAGGGAGCGAGAGAGTGAGAGAGAGAGAGAGAGAGACCCGGGTTCGATTCGCGGGTCGGTCAGGTCAGGACAGCGCGAAACCTGAGGCAAGTTTCCTTACTACACACACACACACACACACACAGACACACACACACATACACACAACACACACACATACACATACAGACACACACACACATACACAGGCACACACAAACACACATACACAGGCATACACACACACAGTCACATACACACACATACACACACACATACACACAGACACACACACACACATACAACACACACACAGACATATACACACACACACACACACATACACACACACACACACACAACATACACACACACACACACACACACACAACATACACACACACAGACACATACACAGGCACACACACACGCACAGACACACACATACACAGACACGCGCGCGCATACACACACACAGAGACACACACACACACAGACACACACAGGCACACAGACACACGCAGAGACACAGGCACACACACACACACACAGGCACACACACACAGACACACACACACAACACGCGCCTGTTTACCCAGCAGTGAGTCAGTCGGAACCCGGGTGTCAGTCGGTTGACGGATTGCTTTTTCGGGGGTAATAATCCCTCCAAAAAAATATATAATAATAATAATAATACATCGCTCACCTCAATCCACGACTGTTTGTGGGGGACGTCGCCGGACGCAATCGCTGCCGCGTTTCGCCCACAAAATGCCCGCAGTCGCTTGGCTTCACCGCGTGTCCCGTGAAGCGCTTTGAGACCCCCCCCCCCCCCTGCCCGCCCGACCCCACCCCAATCACGCATCGCATGTGAAGACATGACCACCGCACACGCTATCGTCACCACGGGAACTTTTATTCTAAGATAATAATAATAATAATATTCCCACAGACGTCGAAACAAAACCGAAAACGTGAGAGTCGTAAAGCTGCCCTTTTCTTCCCCCCACTACACCCCCCCCACCCCTCCCCTTCCCCCACAACCCCCTCACGCCCCACCACCCCCCCCCCCTCCCCCCACCCCACCACAGCCCCTGGAGCTGATTCGAAGCGTGTGGATGTGTGTGTGTGTGTGTGTGTGGTAGATGCTTCCCTATGTCTATGTGTCTGCGTGGTGTTTGCATCTGTGTGTGTGTATTTTTGCGTGTGCGTGTCTGTGTGCGCGTGAGTGTGTGTGTGTGTGTGTGAGTGTGTGAGCGTGTGTGTGAGTGCGCGTGAGCGCATGTGACTGTGTGTGAGTAGGAGCGTGTGAGCGCATGTGAGTGCGCGTGAGTGTGTGAGTGCGTGCGTGAGTGTGAGCGTGTGTAGTATATGTGTGAGTGCGTGCGTGAGTGTGAGCGTGTGTAGCGTGTGTGTGTGTGAGCGCGTGTGTGAGTGCGTGTGTGTGTGCGTGTGAGTGCGTGTGTGAGAGTGTGAGTGCGTGAGTGTGAGCGTGCGTGGGTGTGTGTGAGCGCGTGTGTGAGTGCGTGTGTGTGCGTGTGTGTGCGTGCGTGTGCGTGAGTGTAAGGGTGAGCATGCGTGCGTGCATGCGTGCGTGCGTGTGTGTGAGCGCATGTGTGAGTGTGTGCGTGTGTGTGCGTGTGTGTGCGTGCGTGTGCGTGAGTGTAAGGGTGAGCATGCGTGTGTGCGTGCGTGCGTGTGTGTGAGCGCGTGTGTGAGTGCGTGCGTGTGTGTGCGTGTGTGTGCGTGTGCGTGAATGTGAGGGTGAGCGTGCGTGCGTGTGTGTGAGCGCGTGTGTGAGCGCGTGTGTGAGCGCGTGTGTGAGTTCGGATCTCGATCGCTGTAGGGCCGGACAGACTGACGCACAGTGACTTGGCCGCTCCCTCAGCGGACGGTTGGGAGAGCTTCTCTCAGGGGTCCCCGGAGGCTGACGCTCACCCGCGGGGTCCGGCCCCGCGTCCCGTTCCGCGGCCGCAGTTGGTAGCGCGGGTTCCCGTCCACAGTCAACCTGCGCCGCAGGAACACGAGCAGGGGATTGGCTGAATCGCGTGCACGCAGGCCGAGAGGGAGCGCGCGCGCGCGCGGGGGGGTCTGCGCGAGGGCGCGAGTGTTTGCGCGCGTGTTTGTGAGTGGAGTGTTTGGGTGTGTGTGTGTGTGTGAGTGGAGTGTTTGCGCGCGTCTGTGTGTGTGAGTGGAGTGTTTGGGTGTGTGGGTGTGTGTGAGTGGAGTGTTTGGGTGTGTGGGTGTGTGTGTGAGTGGAGTGTTTGGGTGTGTGGGTGTGTGTGTGAGTGGAGTGTTTGGGTGTGTGGGTGTGTGTGTGAGTGGAGTGTTTGGGTGTGTGGGTGTGTGTGTGAGTGGAGTGTTTGGGTGTGTGTGTGTGTGTGAGTGGAGTGTTTGCGCGCGTGCGTGTGTGTGAGTGGAGTGTTTGGGTGTGTGGGTGTGTGTGTGAGTGGAGTGTTTGGGTGTGTGGGTGTGTGTGTGAGTGGAGTGTTTGGGTGTGTGTGTGTGTGTGGTGTGAGTGTTTGTGTGAATGTTTGTGTGTGTGTGTGTGTGTGTGTGAGTGTGTGTGTGAGTCTGAGCGCGAGAGAGCGCGCGTGTGACGCGCGCGAGTGTGTGAGAGAGTGTGTGAGTGTTTGTGTGTGAGAGTGTTTGTGTGTGAGTGTTTGTGAGTGTGAGTGTTTATGTGTGTGTGTGTGTGTTTGTGTGTGTATGTGAGTGTGTGTGTGTGAGTGTGTGCGTGTGAGAGACGCTGTGACCTCTTTGAGACATCTGAAAAGCGCTTCACGGGATACGCCGTAAGGTGTAGTGACTGCGAGTGTTTTGTGGGCGAAACGCGGCAGCCAATTGCGCCCAACGACGTCCCCACAAGCAGACGGTGGGGGGAGGGGAGGGGGGGAGGAGGGGGGTGTGGGGGTCAAAGTGACTCGTTCTTGATTATTATTGGGGAACGGAAGCTGTTTGTTTACCTGAGGGGGAGGGTGTGGGGCTCGTCTGGTTAGAAGAGGGACCGTCAGCGGTGGAGGCAGACGTGGTGGCGGTGTTGGCGTTGGTGGCGATGGCGTTGGTGGCGGTGTTGGTGATGGCAGCGTTGGCGGCGATGGCGGTGTTGGCGTTGGTGATGGCGGTGTTGGTGATGGCGGTGTTGGCGGTGTTGGCGTTGGTGATGGCGGTATTGGCGGCGGTGGCGGCGATGGCGGTGTTGGCGTTGGTGGCGGTGTTTGTGATGGCGGCGTTGGTGGCGATGGCGGTGTTGGCATTGGTGGCGGCGTTGGCGTTGGTGGCGGTGGTGGCGGTGTTGGCGTTGGTCGTGGCGGTGGCGGTGTTGGCGTTGGTGGTGGTGGCGGCGATGGCGGTGTTGGCGTTGGTGGCGGCGGTGGCGGTTGCCCTTCTCCTGGTCTGATGGGTTCCTGGCGTCTCTGAGCCAACGACGGATTAATTATTGTCATTTTTAACATCAATCATCTGATGGTTTACTCTCAGTGTCAGCGGAGAAACGCTCCCACAAAAACACGGCTGCCGAGATTTCCCCCCAAAATGGCTGCCGTGTTTACCCCCCCAAAGTGGTTGCCTCCGCATGACCCAAAAAAACAATGGCTGCCACAGTTTCCCTCCAAAACGGCTGCCGTATTTGCCCCACAAGTTGGAACTAGGAGCTGACGGTCGTCGCTGGGACCCGGGGCAACGGTGGCCACCATTTTGAGGGGCAAATCCGAGTCTTCACTCATTCTCCCCCTCCATCTCTCCCTCTCACACCCTCCCATTCCCCCTTCTCCCTCAGGTGAAGGTCGAGCTTCCTCTTATAACAACAATAACAACAATGACCCAACCCCTCATCACGTCTTCGAGACGCCTCAAAGCGCTTCGCGGGACACGCCGTGAAGTGTAGTGACTGCGTTTGTACTTTGTG